TCCTCACTGCGTCCTCTGCCTTTTCATAAACTCTAGTCTCTGCTTCCTTTAGCCTCCCCTTCTGATTGTCAAATGTCTGGTTTGGTTTTTAAAAAGAAAAGGGGGCCAGGGACCTGAACATGTGCCACTTATTGCAGTTCCCCAGGTCCAGCAATTCTATTCCCTCCCACCCCCAGGCAATGTGAATGGAAAAGACTAATGGAAAAGGTGTCCTAGAGGGAGGGGGAGGAGCCACAAAAGCTTAAGTTTCAGGGCATTACCTGTCCACAATGCCCACACTTAGCCTTCTGGGTAATGTGCGCAGTGCACTGAGGCCTGGGGCTCCTTTGGGCTCTGAGACAGCACAGTGGTGAACTCTATTAGGTGACAGACTATACCCCATCTCCAGGGCATCAGGAAACTTCTAGATCCCTGCACAATGCCATCTGGCTTCAGAAGTCAGCAGCCCTGGTTGGGCACCAGTGCGTGGGGCTGAGTACCTGTGCTCTGCAGTGCTGGACCAGGGCTTAAGCAGATGATAGGACAGGACTCCAGATGCCCAGACTCTAGATGTGGAAAGCCGGGCTCCAGCTCCAGACTCCCAGGGCTCTAGGGTGTTCCCAAGCATCCTGGTCTCCATCTTTAGATACATTTGTCCCCTCTCCAGGATTGGTTTCCACAGGTCTGCCGCTTGCCACAGATGAAATCACTAACTTCCAAAGCGCTAGTAGAAAGGGGGTGGCTGTGGGTGGAGTTCCTTGGGTTAGATGACTGGGTTGAGAAAATAGATCTGAATCCTCTCATTTACACATTCTCTAATAATATTTATGGTGGCTTACTTATGTTCCAGGCACCGAGTTAGCACTTAAACATACCTTGTCATTTTTAAAATAACAGCTTTAAGGTATAATTGACGCACCATACAATTCACTCCCATGTAACTTCACAGTTTTTAGGCTATTCTGATCTGTACCAGCATTTAATTTTAGAACATATTCATGTATCCGTAAAGAGACTCTGTCCACTTTTGCAGTCACTCACTCCCAGTCTCCCTGCCCCTTAGCCACTGTAAACAACCAATCTACTTTCTGCCTTATGGATTTGTCCACCCCAGATATTTTAAGCAGGGGGAAGCCTTTTGTGACTATTCTTAATGCATGCTGTTTTGTGAGACCATAGATCACCCTTCGTAGTGCCAAGTAATAGTCTACTTTATAGGTATGCACGGTTAATGGGCTTTGGGCTTGCATTCACTTCTGGCTATTGTGGCTAATGCTGCTATGAACACTTATTTTTCTGTTTAAAGAGGCCATGCCGGTGGGTGTGAAAAGGCTACCCTGATGGCTAATGATGTGGATGTACTTTTCATGGATTGCCAAACCATTCACTTATCTTCTTGGAGAAATGCCTATTCATATCCTTGGCCCATTTTAAATTTAATCTAATTTTTAAGGCTTATTTTGTTTTAAAGTGTGTGTGTGTAAATGCAGGAATCCAGAAGAGAACTTCTAATCCCCTAAAAGCTAGGGTTACAAGCAGTTATGAGCCACCTAATATGGGTGCTGGGAATAGAACTCAGTTCCTTTGCAAGATCAATAAGTACCCAGGTGCTCTTAATCACCGAGCCATCCCTCAACCCTGTCTCCCACCCTGCCTGTTTTAGTTAGCTTATTTCTTTGTATCATTAGGTTGTGAGAATCTTTTACATAGCCTGGATGCCAATCATTTTTCAAGGACTGGTAGATTTGATAAAATAAGTAACAATAAATTAAGTTCAGGAAGGGGCTGGAATTTTAAGAATCTGTACAGCTCCAGGCAAGGTGACAGAAACCTTCCTCAGACAGACCCTATGAAGGCAGGACATGGAGACTCTTCACTGTTCAATCACACCTCTTCTGAAACCATTGTAGCACCACAGGAGTCTGGGAGTACCGTGGCCTGGGGGAGGGACGCGGGTAGGCTAACACATTGAAGGCAGAACTTCATGTGGGGAACTTTTCTTTTTCTTTCTTTCATTCTTTTCTTTTTAAATGCATGGTCTTTTATTCCTTGGGCAAATGAGATGGTACATATAAAAGTATTTGGAATTGTAAAGGGATATGCAAATGTAAAGTGACATTCTTATTGCTACTATTGTTATTGGTGAGAACCAATAAAAGACCTGTCTAGGATGAAATCACAGAGCTTTAGGGTTGGGGTGGGGGAGGAGTGGGCTAGGGACAAATGAGGGCAGGGAGGGTAAAAGCTGAAGGAGATGGGAGGGTGGCAGGGCTGGCATATTTTGGCTTATGTGTGTGTGTGTGTGTGTGTGTGAGTGAGTGAGTGAGTGAGTGAGTGAGTGAGTGAGTGAGTGAGAGAGAGGGAAAGAGAGAGACAGCACCATGAGCACACAGAGCACCTTGTAATTTCTGGTGCATTCCTCTACAACCTGTAAAATTATTCACTTAATATTTTTCTTTAAAAGGGCTCCTATTTCTTTTCATTAAAGAACTATGTTTATAAAGGCACCTTTATATACCAGTTGTAAATGACAAACGTGCATCATGTTCAGGAGGGAAGGTACCCTATAAAAACAAATGGGAAAATCCGTACAGTGTTATGCAGTTCTGGCTGGATTCCATTGCCTCCTGGGCCTGGAACACTGTCCCCATCTTCTCAACCTGGCTCAGCTCTGTCACTCAGGCTTCTGTTCCAATGGCTGTCCTTTGGAGGCTCTAGGATGTCCAATAGCTCCAGTGTTGGCCTCCGGCCTGGTCCTTGTTATCTGTCTCTTATTGCACTGTAGCTTCCTGAGGGCTGTGGGTTCACATTCCTGGAGTGTGTCTGGGCAAAGTATCATCTGTGTTCCTCACCAATCTCCTGGCCTAGCTAGCTCTACAGGGGCTGCATGAAGAGCTAAGAGCTGAGTTGCTAGGCAGTTCTCTCCTTTGCTTTTTCTCTTTTATTTAGCAAGGGTCAGCAGAGTATAGACACAACAGGCTGGTGCCAAGCTGCTGCACCTTGTATAATCAAGGCATCTGAAAAGAGGCTGGATGGAGAAAGATACAGCCTGCCTAGATGGCATCTCAAAGATCCCCAGGCTTCCCTATATGTCCCAGACCTGTAGCTTGGCTACCTACCCCCAGAGCATCCCTTAACCTCGGCAACTCTGCAGTCCCCAGAGTAAGGGAGCAAGAAGCTCTGAGCATGAACCAAGCCAGCTTTTGGCAGATGCACATGAGAGTTAGAAGCAGTCAAGTTTGAATGGGTCTTAGAGACTGCCTGCTTGCTGGATGCCTACACTTCCTCCCAGGCTCAACTTTTAAAGCAATGTTGTCTGTCCTTTCTCAAGTACTCAATTTGTACCAGGCATTTTGATTAAAAAACAACAAAAGAAGCTATGACTTTGTCGTTCTTTTTTATCCTTGCAATTTTAGAATTAGGGACTTTTATAAGCCTCATTTTAGAAATGGGAACTGAGGCTGACAGAAGTTTTATGATTTGCTTAAAGTGACAAAAGTTGGCCTTTAACATTTCAAAGTCTAGGTTCTTTCTTTTGGTTTTTTGAGACAGGGTTTCTCTGTGTAGCTTTGGAGCCTGTCCTGTAACTCACTCTGTAGAACAGGCTCTTCAAACTCACAGAGATCCACCTGCCTCTGCCTCCCAAGTGCTGGAATTAAAGTCATGCACCCCTAAGTCCAGGTTCTTGATCACCACATGTAATAGCTATTAAGTGTCACTGTCTACAATCAGGCAAGTCTGTCCTACAGCTCAGAAGCTACATGCATCCCAACGCCCACAAAGTTATAAACTCTCCTTCTCTCTCTCTCTTCCTCTCTCTGTCTCTCTCTCTCCCTCTCTTATAACTTAATTGCCTAATTTTCAAGCCTGAACTTCATAGATATTATAATATCAAGGGGTAGGATGTGTCTGTCTTCTTGCTGTATATCCATGCCTCTGTAATGCTACCTCTAGTGACATTGACTTCCAACTCCAGGGATGTGTGTGTATATGGTGTGCATATATGGGGCCAGGTGTGTGCATGGTGAGCACATATTTCTTAGAAGTTTATTCTAAGAGTTGTTCCTCTCCAGGGCCCAGTGGCATGCCTAGTGCTGGTGACTGTTCAGTAAGTGAAGGGACACGAAGCTCAGCCTTCTTTCTGTCAGCCTCCGCTTCTATGGAGGAAAGATAGGTAACAGTATGCAGAGAGTTTCTAGAGAACTCACCACATCAGAGACCCAGGCTCCTCCCAGGACAGTCTGTGGCTGGATATGTTGTAGGCTGAAGGACTCTTGTATGTACTATGAGGGTGGGTATGCAGAATACCCTGGAGGAAAGCAGGGAGAGGATTTGGGGGGAGCCCAGAACTTTAACACCAATGGCAGTGCTGCTTATCTTTCCTGGTTTGGGGGATTTTTCCTGATCCACAGTCTGCCCATTCTACCCAATTTTATGTCCCCCCAGAAAAGTCAGAGAGTGGTGCTGGAGTGCTTGGTCCATTTGCCCTTGGCCAGAACCAGAGAAGCTCTGTGATAGGAGCCCTGACTTCTGCTCCATCTTGATAGAAGCCTTTGAACTCATCTTTGTGTAGGGTTCATTCATGTCATCCAAATTTGAATGCACTTTTTGTTCCTATGGGCACTCAGTCCGATGGTGTCCAATGCCCTCCTGTATCCCAAGTCAGGGTCTATGTTTCTCCATGTCAGTATCCCACACCCTGCACAGTACTCAGGCTTCAGTTCTAAAACTTAGTTAGCCCTTTGTACCTGTCAACAATCACCACCTGCATTAATTCAGTGACCCCTCCACAATGGTCCTATGATTATCCCCTAGAAGAGGTAAGGGCACAACTCATCACAGAGGTTGCGCCTGCCCCAGGTCACACAGTTAGCATGAGGCAGGTCTGGGATTCCATCCCAAGCATCGTGACTCCCTGAGTCAACAGTCTTAAGACTGATTTTTGGCCTGCCTTTCCGTTTGTTGTTTTGGAGGTGACGTTTCTTAGCCAGGGCACCAAAAGAACCTGTTTGCCAACTCAGGGGCAGAAGGTGGAATGCTGGTCACCATAGCAACTCAATCAACGGACTTGCACCAGCTGCTGAGCCCTTGGGACAGAAGTTCCACTGCTGGCAGGAGGAGAGTGGTTTGTCATGGGGCAGTGTTTGAGGTACCAGATGCAGTGGGAGGACCTGGAAGAGTACCAGGTGGGTAGTAAGGTCACAGATTTGGGACAGAACTAGGGGCTTCCCAGGGCAGGTGGGACAAAGGAGAAGAACTGCCTGAAGCTCAGGAGAGAGTAGCAGGCCACAGAGATGTCTCTTGTCTCTGCTGAACTTGTATCTGTTTTGATTCAGACCAGCTCTCTCAACCTCCTCACCCCCACCCCCTGTCCTAGACTCCAGGGTGTTGTTTGGTTCTGATTGACTCTCCCAGTCTGGGCTACTTTACCTGCTTTCAGTGACATGACACGGAGGGTATATTACCACTTTGTCCTTGGTTGCTACCACAGACCTGTGGCATGCAGAGCCTTCATTTCTTCAACAGTACAATGAGAGAATGCCTTCCCTGTCCTGCGGCCCCATGCTCTTCCATACTCTCTGATTTGTTGCAGGCTCTGACCTTCCTAACAAGGAATGAGATTTTGTGGTGAGTAGAGGCCGGCATCCTCTTTCCTCTCCCTTGATCTGTGTTCTTTCCTGCTATGGCTCCACTCTGGCCCCATGGTCAGAAGCACACAGCCCTGAAGCAGCATCTGGGATGGACAGGAAGTTGTGAGATTCCCCTGGAGTAGAAGAACACACCAGACCTAGGCTGCTGTGCTGTTACTACCACCAAGGCTGAGGTTCTTCATAGCTGCTGGGATTCCTTGGGACAATGAGGAAAATGAAGAAAGTCTTAGAAAGTGAAGGGTGAGCTTATTTGGGCTAGTTACTGGTTTGGTGAGCTTGGAAGTATTATGGACACTCAGTCTGCTACCTGGCTCCCCCCCCCCGCCACCTCCCCATATCCTTCCAGGACCTGCTCTGTACCAGAGACAATGGAAGCAGAGAATGTGTTCCCAAGAGGGACCCTGCCCTGTGGGAAAGCTCTTGGCCAAAGACTCATCATCCAGAATGGAGATGTGACAAATGGCTTCATAGGGCATGGGAGGGATGACTAGGATAGATGTGTTTGGTTAGAGCCAGGTGCTCAACAAACCTGTGTGGTATGCAAACCTGTGTGGTGTACAAATGAGCTTTCTAGGACACTCTCAAGAGAAATCAGTGAAGATGGGAACAAAGACCGATTAGACACTGTCCTGGAAGCACACACACACACACACACACACACACACACACACACACACACACACCCCTTGACCTCACTGGCCTGACCCTCCCCCTAAGCTCCACACCCCGCCTGAAGGCCACAAACATTAGACTCTCCAGGCACAATAGGAATACTAAGTGACAAGGATCTACGGAGACCAGGGACAATCTTGAGGCTGTGTTACTTTTCCTTTTAAAGATACTATTTACTTTTTTAAAAAATGTCTATAGTGGGAATCAAAGCTAGGGTTTGATCCATGCAAGCCAAGGACTTAAGACTGCACCACACTCTGAACTCACTTTTTTACATGGAGGAAATAAAAGGCAAAACTCCAAACAAGCTGTATCTTATACTCACCTCATCCCTATTGATATTTTCTAAGAAGAGATGCATTGCATAACAAACAAACAAACAAAAACAAAAAACAAGATGAAACAAAATATTTAAATATAGCTAGAAAATTCAAATAGGAGCCTAGTTGTAAAGGAGAACAGATATCTGTGTTCTCTCCTGTGGGCCCTTCCTCTTGACTCATCTGCACAGTGGCTTTATCATACAGGCTCCCAAGAGACTTGTCCACGCATGGACCTTCATGAATCTCTCGCCCATTCACATCACTGCTTCCCTTCCCATGCCTGCCTGCATCCTTTCCCTCTTGTTCTGTACCTTTGCCTTTTTTTTTTTTTTTAAAGTCATCTTCTTTGCCAGTTTTACACAAAGCACAGAGAGCCACCCATCCTTCTTCAATGGCTCTGGACCTTTCCCTTGCTTTGATGAACTGTAATTCAATACCAGATCCCAGTATGGAAACTTAGCCTGTGGGGTGGTTGTGATGGTGGTGGTGAGGACTTGGGGAGACAGAATATGGAAGGCACCCATGTTTTCCTTCTTGGACATTGCCCCTCCCTATTTTCCTTTGCTCTGTGTTAGCCTCCTGAGCATGAGGTCCTTAAAAGCCAGCCATCCTTAGGGTCCTTTCCCATCTGAACTGACCACCCAGGTCTTCAGGTGGCACCTGTTCACATTCTCTTCCCATCCTACTTCTATCCCCATCAAAGGTAGCTATTACGGTTTGAATGTAAATGTGCCAGCAGGCCCTTGTGTTTGAACACTCGATCTCCTGCTGGTGATGCTATTTCGGGAGGTTATAGCCTTCAGGATGTGGGGCCTCACTGACAAATGTAGGGCTGTAGAAACAGATCCTGAGGGTTATGGAAACTTTTGCTTCCAAGGCTTGTTGCATCTTAACCCACCAGGATTGAATAGACCAGCCCATAAGTCCCTGGGACTACAGACCCAGAATCCCAGCTGCCTACCCCAGCCACCATACTTTTCTCCACCATGAAGGGCTGTATTCCTTCCAACAATGAACCGAATAAACTATCATAAGTTATTTCTGTTAGGTATTCTGTCAGAGCAACAAGAAAAGTCATTAATATGGTCTCCTTATGTAACAACCCTGGCAGAAATGAAAATATTTTAATGAGGCAGTGTATCTCTCAATCTATCAGACTATTCAAACAATGGATCCCAGGAGATGAGGATTTCCCCTAGGAATCTCATTCTGGGAGAAGGAAAAGGTGACAGCCATAGGGGAAATTACCCCCCCCACTCCTCCCACCCTGGAAAGAGGTTTCATGCAGTTCTATGCACTTGTCAAACTTTACAGAATGAGACTGAAAGCTCAGATAATGATGGGTCAGTGGTGGCTGGGACCACATCTTGACCCATACTGCTTAGATGTGTGTGTGTGTGTGTATCCTTGCCTCTCTATCTGAACTTTAACCTTGCTAAGGATGACTTGGAAAATTGCTGGGTCCCTTTGTTCCTCTTCCCAATGTGGCCATGTTGAATAAATCTTTTTCTGCTTTCCACTATTAATGTGGCTCTTTTAATTGACTTATGAAGGACAGGTGGCTGGACCAAGCTTGGGACACAGTCTGTGTGACACCCCCGCCCCCAGTTTGATAGCACTTCCCCTGGAAAAGGTGCAACTTTAACTGTTCAAATGTTGCTAGGGAAAGTTCTGCATCTGCTCAGACCTGTCCCAAAAAACTTCTCTTGAAGCTCTTCCTGGCTCACCATGACTGATGGCTCCATTCCAGAGCACAAGGTGCCCATGTCTCACAGGATAGCTTTTGCAAGGAGACTTCTACCTTTGGGGCCATGGAGAAGAGGAATGGGTAACTGTTGGGCAGAGGGAACCCTGCCTAGTAAAGACATAGTGGGGGATGTGGTGCTCAACTCCTACTCTACATCTGCCTCCACACTACACACCTTCAAGTAAGGTGGACAAGAGTGTGTGTGTGTGTTGGGGGGGCAGGAACTCAAGTTGGAGGGAGTCCTGTACCTTCAGTATAACTGATAACCCAGCTCAAGGATACCATAGCCTGGGAGCAGTTGAAGACATGGACAAGGGCCTCAAATGATCAAGATGCTCAACTGCTGTGGTTCAAAATGAAAAAGATGCTTTAACTTGGTCATTCTACTTGCATCACAATGGTCCAGGAAACAGCGATGCTGATTCACCCATCAGCGGGATGCTGTCTTGAGTGGCTGGAACTTCCAGAGAGAACCTTAGAAGGATAATGTTCAAGATTATAAGATTAAATTAGGAAAGCAAAGGACATGAAACTTATGGAAAATGGAGTATCACCCAAGTCTGTTCCTTCTACCAAAAGGAGAGTGAAGGCATGTTTTTAAAAGAAGAAATAATTCTATAAGCACAAAAAGAAAGCCATAGATGAGGAAGGAAGGCCAACAGAAATATGAGAAGTACCACATAGATAGCCCCTAAGTCAGACTCAGCCGAGCAGGAACCTGAAATAACCTGATCTGCAGGGTCTGAAGTGGTAGAATTGAAACCCAGAAAGACTGAGGGAGCTTGGAATTTCCTGGGGCAGAGTCAGGTGAGAGCAGAAAGGGGGATTGAGGGTATCAGGTGAGTCTACCTCTTGCCCTGTGATCCACTTGGTAGTCTTGCCTCCATCCATCCAGTGGAGGAGGAGCTTACCATCTGGATAAGAGTGATAGCCAGGCTGGCTGCTGCAGCCACCAAGAGCAGGGTGATCTTCCACTCAACCTGCAAAGCCTTGCTGTAAGTCTGCCTTGAAGGACCAATACATGTCAAAAGTGAACAAAAGAGCCTACATGTATCATCCTGCCATCATGACATTTTAGGACACCAAGATAGTGGGGAGGAAGGGGAAGGAAAATAAAGAGGCGTGCTCAGTGGGTATAAGGTATCAGAACAGCTCTGGGCTTACACTGGAAGACACAAGTCCTTCAAAATTCTTAGGAAAAAAAGTTTCCAATCTAGAATAAAGTTCCTGGATAAACCATCAATCATAAATGTAAGCAGAATAACAATATTTTTACATGCAATTAAAAATATTTGAGGCAACTTTTTGAGGATTTGCTTTGCTAAAATTAGTAATCAAACTAGAAGAAAGACAACAGGACTGGACCCATGGAAAAAAGGATTTTACCATAGAGGATGGAAAATTAATTACAAGGATGGCGAGAAGGGAAAAGCTCAAGCAGGACAATGGAAACAGGCATGGAAAAGAATCAGTTCTTCGTGGCGCTGTATAAAGTTTGGTGGATGAGCTAATGATCGGTATGCTACAATCTAAGAAAAAGAAAACAAAGCAATGGTTAACTCTGGGAAAAACAAAAGGCATTGCAAGAAAGAAAATGTAATCATGTTACACAAGGGAAATCAGCTGGGAGCAATGCTTGAATAATAAATAAAATATAATAGTAATATGGTAAATACAGAATATCGATTCAGGCAAATTGTTTTAAATTGGGACATCAGGAAAGGAGACTTATATAGAGAAATAAATCCTCTTCTTAATAGGGGCATGTCACAAGATAATGTCTATAATGAAAGACAAGTGGTAGCATTAGTACAGTACTTAGAAGTGTTGTATAAATATTAGGAAAAAAACAAGAGAAACAATAAGCTGTTTGTAAAATGCCTCTGGAGAACAGGGTAGATAAGTGTGGGGGTGAGGAATATATGTCATCCTGACTGTAGGCTTTATAAGTGCTTATGTTTTTAGCTTATTGCAGCATATTGCTTTGGCAAGCTAGACTGAGAGATGCAAGATGCTACCAGTTTCTGAAATGAAGGATGTTTACACACAGACATGTAGGACAATACCCAGAAGGGTATACACAGAGTACCTACAGGCCAGTTCCTCAGAGGCATGCTGGGACTTGAACATGCCTGAGTTAGTGGTGCATCATGGGTAAGCAAAAGAAACAGCTTAAATATTGATGCATGGTGTGTGCTCAGAAAGTTCTTGGCTCACAATGTGTGGTAGAGAAAG